GAGTGTGGTCTGTCTTTCCTCTTACTTGAAATATCGTGCCGGATGTAGTGTTTTCTGACCATGGTTGACGGTGAGTAACTAAAACCACAGAAAGCAAAGCCCGTGGTGAAGGGGATCTGTGGTGAAGAGGGCACGACTACAGTGTCATCATCCATCACCCAAACCCAGACATCTTTGAAAGTAAGAGGAGCATCAATAATCACGCCGGAGGATGAGAGCACTTGGGAACTGGGAGGCATGATCACCCCACACTTCAACGTGAGGAGAGTGTTTGAGATGATTTCATAATTTATCAAGAGATGAATACATGTACTAAATTTTTGTTTAAAAAAAAAAGTGGAGAGGAATAGAGAGAAAAGAGAACAGAAAAGAGAACGCCAGGGCAGGAAGGAAGGAAAAAGAGAGAGAGGGGAGAAGCACTAATTCTCTAACCTACATCTGTAATAGGGTTAAGCCGGAGAGAGAGTGTTATTTGCCCAAATTAAGGGGCTGTAGGGGTAGCAGACCATACCCTCGAAGGTCAGAAGATTGCCCCCCAGGGAAGGGAGATGGATTCCCTGACCGCCTTGACTGGGCATTTCTGAGAAGTCAGTGGGTTTGGAAAAAACAGTTTCATAACCAGGAGGGCAGCCTGCTGCAAGTACTGATGGTCAGGCTAAGAATTTTCACTTTAATTCTTCAACTCCAGATTCTCAGAGTTACCATTTCCTGGGGAATTCACTCTGTGGGCCAGAGAATATAAGAAGCCACAGAATAAACCTGGTGCATAATTTTAATGGGTCAATTTTTTTTTTAAATGGTGGTAGATTACTCAGCATTCAAAAAAGATAAACACATGCAATTTGCAGCAACATGGATGGCACTGGAGGGGATCACGCTCAGTGAAATAAGCCAAAAAGAAAAAGAAAAATACCGGATGGTCTCACTCATAGCAGGAATCTAGAAAACTTAAATAAGGGACCAGGAAAATGAATAACTATAAGAAAGTGAAAATCAAAATCAACAAAAAACTATGAACCAGAGACACTTTTTGGGGGTGGGGGGCGGGAGGGGAGGAATTGGGGTCAGAATGGGGGGGTTGCAATTGTATGGGGAATATAAAAATAAAATTTATTATAAAAAAAATGGTGGTAGATTATGTGGAGTTCAAAAAATTTAATGATAAATTATTGTAAGATGATCCCATTAAAACAATCAGAAGTGTTATGAAATGCAAATGCTTTTAAAGACAAAACACAAGGATTTATTTAAAAAATGTGTGCTTGTTTTGCAATTTTGCCTATTTGAGCTCTGTCCCCAGGCCATGGATTTTGCTTCATTAGTTTCTTGAGAGAGGAGTATTTGGTTGGAAAGGTTTGAAACAGCCTTGTTTAAGCAGAAGGACATCAGCAAAGAAAGAAGACAGAAAGGGCCTGAGACACGAATGAAGACTTACAAAGATTACTCTAGTGTTTGGCGAGCAGCTGGAGTACAGAGCAGTGTCAGCAAATAGGAAGCCACAGTCAGGCCCACAAGAGACCAGACATGGGACCTACTGATGAGTCCAAATGGGCTGAGAACTGGAAGAATGCCCAGGCTTCCCTTCTGCTATCCCTGAAACCAACCCTTTGTCACTGTTCTCAGCAACTTGATATAAAGATACTGAAGAAGCAGAAGTCACAGGACCCTCCTCTTACAGCCACTGCATCCCACAGAGGGGCTGACACTTAAGAGGTACCCAACAAGTGTGCAAGGGGTAGCACGGGATGGAGCAGGACAGAACCAGGACAGATGGAATGGGATGCAATCAGTGGGATGGGGTGGAACGGAAGGATTTAGTGAATGAATGGTTACATGAGAAAAAGAATTCAGAGGAAATGGCTGGCCAGCCTTATGAGGTGCAACAACATGTAATTGGCAGTGGGTGAGGTATAGTAATATTCACCTGAAGGATGAGATCCTACACCTCTAAATCATATACAGTATTGTGAACCAATGCTGCCTCATTAAAATTTTTTTTTAAGATTTAGTTATTTATGTATACAAGAGCTGGGGTGCAGGTCAGATGTGTGGAGGGTGAGAGGATTCACCGGAGACAGGGTGGGGAGCAGAACAGGTGGATCCACTAAAATACACTGCTGAGGGGAGCAGCAGGCGAATCAGGAGAGGTCTGCTGCACCATGTGGGTTGCTCCCTGGCCAGGTATAGAAGTGCTGCAGAGGCTGTGGACAGCTTCATAGATTGTGTCTTAACTGGTTGCATCTTAACTGGTTGCGCTACCAGGGAGGCCCATCATTAAAATTTTTTAAACTTAATTTATAAAAATGAGATGTATATAAAGTGAGTGCTGAAATTACAATGAAAATTCAGTACTACGCAAACTAAAGAGCTTCTCATGTACATGAAGTGTAGTATATATAAATGCAAGGTCTGGTGCTGCTGGTGTTCTATCCTAGCAGAGGAGCAATATCACCTGATAGAACTGGGCTCTCACCATCAGCCAACCAGTCTTAGAAAACTGATAAAGGAAGAGGACCTTGCAAAAGGCCAAGCAAATCCCAAAGAAGGTGAACAGCTCCCTATGACCTCAGTGGCACCCTTCACTCTGGGTGCCCATGTTCCGACTCACTGTCCTTGTGTTTGGTCTCTGTCACCATGGTCACCAGCTGCATGGATGCTGGGAAGGATAGCTGCTAGGCTGGCTCTAATACCATCACTCACACAGTCTGGAAAATGCTCTCAGCCAACTTCAGAAGCCTGGTCCCTGTGGAAGACCAACTTCTTCTGACAGAGAATGAAGTTTCTTTGTTTTATATTTAGAAATATAAAATGGAATGCATTGTCTGAGCACATCAATTTGATTGCTAAAAGCATCAATACTTATTTTATTCTCATTGCACAGATTTGTTTAAATGCTTCACTCTACCTTGATGCCACATGTGATATGAGTGGACAAGCAAGGATTTTGTTCCACACATTCCCTTGGTTCTGGGGCCTGTACCCTTCCATCTCTGGGGAGACCACACTCCCCACCTCAGGAGCAGCCGCAGGCATGTGACTCAGGCCTCACCCATCAGAGTGCGACATCCTCACAGTCACATGAGCCTGTCAGAGCCAATGAGATGAAAGGACACTTTGCCACAACTGTAGAAAGCAGGGATGCTCAGTTTTCCACAGGACCTACCACACAGAATTCAGAATTAAATCCAACAGAGCAGAGCCGAGAGATGGAGAGAGTAAAATTCATTTTGACTGATATCATGGGAGCCCCTAAATTGATCTGTGCCTGAGGATAAAACCATTTCTGAATGTTTCTATTATGGAAACTCACACATTCCAGTTTTATTCAAGTCAAATTGTGGGGTTTCTTGCAGCTGGAAGTGAGTTGTACATTAGTATGTAGCTAGCCACAGACTTGCTTTCAAGAGTTTGCTGTAGAAGCTTTGAATGAATTGGATGGATAGAAATAGCCCCTAGTGGCTGATACAGCTAGACACTTCAGTGCTTTGAAGGGAGTAAGGTTGACATTGCATCACTTATCAAACACCAGCTCTGGAAGATGCCAGAAAAGACACAAAGAGGCAGAGGGCATACTTGCCTACCTTCAAAAAGCTGAGACAGTTGTGAACAATCCTCAGCATCTGGAGTCAGTGGAAACTGATGACAGCCTGGAGTGAGAGGCCCAGTGGGAGGGCCACAGGGCCACAAACCCAGAAGGGTGGGTGAAGATTTGTGGGTAGAGCCCATCTCTCTCAACAGCACCCTGCACTGCCTGGACAGGAAGCTCTAACAGAGGCCACTGCCAGAGAAGCCAAATTGAACCTTTTTTCCACAATCAGGGTCAGAATCGTGTCTCAGGATCCCTATAACACAGGGCTTGGCAAAATAGCCCACCTGCCTGAAGCCTCGATTCCCTAAATAGCAATGCCTCCGTAGGGCTGGGGGAGAGCAAGCAGGGAAGTAGCAGAGGCAGCCCGAAAGCAGATGTCTCAAAAGCTCAAACCAAGGGGTGTGAACCTATATCTCAATCACATGCAGTGATGTGAGCCACTGGTACCTCAAAAAATATATATTAAAAAAATCATCTCTGGGCCTCTCTGGTGGCACAGTGGGTTGAGCGCAGTGCTGTGAAGCTGTCTGCAGCCTCTACAGTGCGGGTTTGATTCCCAGCCAGCCAGGGAGATTCCCACATGGCACAGCAGACCTCTCCTGTCTCACCCGCTGCTCCCCTCAGCAGTGTGTTTCGTCAGTCTGCCTGTTCTGCTCCCCACTCTGTCTCTAGTGAATCCTCTCACACTCCCATGCCTCTGGCCTGTGCCCCAGCTCTTGTATAAAAATAAATATTTTTTTTAAAAAATCACCTCAAACAAATCTCACACAAGATATCAGGAAGGGCCTTCAAATGTGAGACCCTCAAATGCAAGGCACAGTGTGCCAAGCCTCAGTCTTAGAGAGAAAACACAAATTTTACTAGTCCTCTCTCCTCTCTCCCTTTCTCTCTCTCTCTCTCCACCCCCCTCCCTCCCCACCTCTCTCTCTCCCCCACCTCCCTCTCTCTCTTTCTCTCTCTCTTTTCCTTATACACACACACACACACACACACACACACACACACTCTTCATGTGAAGGGCAGAGGCAACCAACAATCTCAAGATCAAATGGATAAGTTCCCAGTGAAATATCATGAGATATTAAGAAGCCTGAAAACTGTTTAAGAAAGACAACAAATACAATGACCTATATCAGAGGAATTGGAACTAACGAAAAAGGCCAAAAGTTAAAGCCCAGCCATCATGATATGCCTAGAGAGATCAGTATGGACATTGACTTCACAGAGCTGGAACACACAACTATACCAGACAGGAACGACTCTGTCAAGACAATTGCCTTCCAGCAGGACCTGCAAAGAAGGGTCTTTTCAGACATGATGAAGGTCACAGATCTTGAGATGGGGAGATTATCCTGGGTTACCCCATTGGGTCCAACTAATCACACAAGCACTTAAAAATCAGCTGAAGTAGGCATGGCCAAATGCTGTGTTCCTTTTATCAGTAGTTTACACAGTCAGACACCACGCAAAAGTAGTTTTCCCTTTGCAATGGCTGATGGCATGCTAGGTTTTGCCGTGGTCTATCATTATTTCAAGTGCATACAAATAACTGAGCTAGTACTGAGAGCTTCCAGGTCCCAATTAAATTGAAAATCTGTTTGTTATGTTGCCTGTATTGTTTTCAAATGCAATATTAAAAATGGCTGTGATTACAGTCAATTCTTAAGAAATTTTTTAAAAATCAGCTGACATGAGTGAGAGATGAGGTATGACAGGGACTCAATAGCTGCCACTAACTTCACAGCAAAGGAAGTCATGAACCATGGCATGTTCTAAAACCTGAACTCTATACCCAGGTGACAAATGGCAAGGAAACAGGACATCATCCCTAAAACTACTTGTATCTGAATTCTGCCAACAGCCCGTGTGAGCCTGTGGGCAGACTGTGCCTGGGTCCCGAGTGAAGGACCACCTGCCCTTACCTTAATTTTAACCTGATGAGGCCCAAGTCAAATTTGTGTTGCTAAGATTATGGCAATTTGCTAAAGCAATAATAGAAAACTAACACAGTCACCATGAAAATTTGTCAAAATAAACTACTCAATGCACATATGAATGACAGACTGGGACAAGCCAACAAGTACATTTGGAAGTTGGTAGTCAAAAAAACAAATAAAAATCAGAAGGAATAAAGAGATGGAGATTCTATACCATTAGGTAGGAAATAGAAACCAATATAAACTTAGTAAAAGTTCCCAAAGGAAAAAGAGACTAGAGAAGGGGCAATATCTGAAGACATAACAACCAAACAATACCCTGGTAATTAAAAATAATTGTAGTACAGATTGAAAGGAATCAAAGAATGCCTATCAAGGATAGATAATATTTTTAATAAACACAAATCAATAAAAAAACAAACCCACTCCCAATCCCTGTTTCCTAGTTGGTTGTGGGGTATATATCAAAATTTAAGAACAATAAAAACAGAAACATCTAAGCATTTTTGGAGGGGAAAAAAAAAACAGAATAAGAATCAAATAAATACCCTTTACCTCAACAGGACATATTAATGGAAAATAAAATCTTTTATATTTTAATCTACCTGTATGGGGATAAAGATATTTTCAATTATACCAGGACTTCAAAATATTCCAGTGAGAAAAAAAAAATACAAAAAAAAAGCAATGGAATGTATGTATATAAAGAGAAAGTAACTACAAAATTACAGAAATATATATTGCTAACTACCTAGAAGTTAAATCTCAAATCAAACATACAAAATATGTGGAGGAGAAGAGACCAAAAGAGCTAAAAATAAGGTCCTTATTCTGTCTGAGGTGAGCATATTGTAAGTGAAAAGCCTAAGACACTGATAGGGGAAAATGAGCGTAAAAGTGGCTCTTTCTGAGTTGGGATAACTAGCAGAAAATACAAAAATAGAATGCACATTTCTCACCAGAAGATAAAAAAACTCAAAATTTTTTCCTTAAAATAGATGACACAGGGCCTCCCCTGGTGGCGCAGCGGTTGAGCGCTGGGCTGTGAAGCTGCCGGCAGCCTCCTCCACAGCGCCAGTTTGATCCTCCGCCACCGGCGAGGGTCCCACATGGCGCGCAGACCTCTCCTGCCGCGCCCACTGCTCTCCTCAGCAGTGTGTTTCGTCAGTCTGCCTGTTCTATTCTCCGCTCTGGCTCTGGTGAATCCTCTCACCCTCCTGCGCTTCTGACTGTACCCAGTGCTTGTATAAATAAATAAATTTTAAATAGATGACACAAAATAATGGAAAAATAAGTAAGCACTGAAAAGGGACAAACAAGTATAGAAAATAAAAAAAATGCACTCTCAGTCACAGGTGTCATAAATAAATCTTAATACATTAATAATTATAATAAATAGAAAAAGTTAAACTTGATGACTAAAATCAGATTTGATCTTTAAGAAAAGGATGTAACATGCTCTACAGTAGACAGAGAGAAAGTTGAAAATAAAAAAGATTTTTACAAAGACACATAAGACACAAACAATAAAAACTGTGAGTGGAGATATTTGCAGTAAAAATATTAAAGCAACTCTAGGTTTTCAAATGGTAAAAGGAAAACTACAAGAAGATACAGCAATCACAAGCAGATAGATGTCATTATCAGAGTTTTATAACACAGCATGCAACAGCAGCTTGTTTCTGCATCTCCCCCATCTTCTCTGATCCTCCTCCTTCTACAATCCTTCCAGCTTCAAACAACCCAGACCCTGTGATCCTTCCCACCTTGCTGGGAATCCACCACCACAGTAGTGCCTCTTCCCTCTCCAGAGTCTTCACCCAGCTTTCTGTCTGCATCCAAACAGACTGTATTCTCTCTAATCTTAAAATGAAAGCAGAGCAGTTGAAATTAAAACTAAAAAGTTCCCTTGACTCGGAGGTGGTCCTCCTCTATTCCCCTTGACTGTCCAGCTACTCAAAAGAATCAACTACAGTCTAGGCCTCCCTGGTGATGCAGAGGTTAAAAATCTCAACACTATGAAGCTATCGGCAGCCGCCATAGCATGAGTTCAAAACCTGGCCAGGGAGCTACTCACATGGTGCGGCAGACCTCTCCTGACTCGCCCGCTGCTGCCCTCAGCAGCATATTTCAGTAGATCCGCCTGTTCTGCTCCCCACTCTGTCTCTGGTGAATCCTCTCACACATACCTCTGTACCTCTGGCCTGCACCCCAGTGTCATATGTATAAATAAAAAAAAATCTTCAATTGACTCCGTTCTAGCATCCAGCTCCCTCGCTGGATGAAACTGGCCATTATCAGAACATCAATAATTACGCCACTGCCCAAGTCTTACTACCCTCTCAGCAGCTTTCCACGCAGCTGAGTTCTCCTTTCAGAAAACTTCTCATGGTGCCTGAGACTCCACTCTCCCACATTTTTTTTATTATAAATTTTATTTTTATATTCCCCATACAATTGCGACCCCCTTATTTTGACCCCAATTCCTCCCCTTCCCGCCTCCCAATCCCCATAGAGTGTCTCTGGTTCATAGTTGTTTGTTGATTTTGATATTTTCTTTCTTATAGTTATTCATTTTCCTGGCCCCTTATTTAAGTTTTCTAGATTCCTGCTATGAGTGAGACCATCCGGTATTTTTTTCTTTCTGGCTTATTTCGCTGAGCATGATCCCTTCCAGCTCCATCCATGTTGCTGCAAATTGCATATGTTTATCTTTTTTGAATGCCGAGTAATATTCCATGGTGTATATGTACCACATCTTGATCCAGTCATCTATTTTTGGGCATTTGGGTTGTGATCCAACCACTATGGAGAGCTGTGTGGAGATTTCTGGACCTACTAAACATAGAGCTTCCATAGGATCCAGCAATTCCACTCCTAGGTATTTACCCAAAGGACACAGAAACATCAATTCCAAAGAGCACCTGCACCCCTATGTTTATAGCAGCACTGTTTACAATAGCTAAGCTATGGAAACACTCTCCCACTTTTGCCGCTTTCCCACCTGAATGTCTTCCCCAGCCCTGCTTGCTGCCTCCCCTCTTCTCTCCGCATGTGGCGCCAGTCAGGGCTGAGACCTGTCCTCTTCACTCCTCCTCCATCCGTTCCTCCCCGGACCATCTCAGACGCTCGCAGCACTCTACGTGCCAAAGATGATCAAGTGCGCATCTCCAGCCAAGGCCTCTCTTGTGGGCTTCAGACAGGAATGTGCCAAGCCTCGCCTCCGGAGCACTGTGCCACCTTAGCTGCCTCCCAAACTCAACTTCTTCAAAACTGAACTCTGGGTTTTCCCAGTCTCCACCAGCTCCTCCTCCTGTTTCTCCCATTTCATCCAAGCAGTGGCCCACGCCAGAAAACAAGGAGTCACCTTGACCGTTTCCTTTCTCGTGGTGCTTCTATTCCAACCAGGGACCGAGCCCTGTGGGCTCTCCTCCCCATGCACGCCCTGAGCCCCACGTCTGCACCGCCCCACCCTGGCCTGCCCGTTGCCAGGCTTCCCTGGACTGCTACACACTCTGCAGTCCTGCTTCCCTTCTCATCACCGTCTCCAGGATGGATGTTCCATTAACAAACATCAAATATGAACATTTTACTACTTAAAGTACTTTAGGGGCTTTCTGTTGTGCACGAGATAAAATAAAAATCCTTAATAAAACCCTTACGTGATCTCGTTCACTAACACAGCAGCCAAAACTAGTCGCCCACATCCCTACTAGTGACGCCAGCTCCAATGGACTTTCCTTTCCTTTCCTGCAAATCACTCCACGTGTTCTTGTGACTTGGTCCTCACATGCTAATATTGCACCCCCATCCCTCCCCTGGCTGTTGTCTGCTCTTCCTTCAGGACCAGTTAGATGTCCCCTCACCAAAGACTTCCCTCCTTTATTAATTACATGGGATCTTAATTCTTCCTTTATGCAATTTTATTTGCTCACATGATTGATTGTCTGCTGTCTGTAAGCTTCATGAGAGCAGGAACCACATACATGAAGTTCAGAGGAGGTCCTGGGGTCTAACCCACTTCCTAGGCTGTAACGGACAGTCACAACGTGGTTGTTGAATGAATGACCCAACTGAAGAAAATGGAAAGTCACCAGATGTTCCTGGACAAGAGGGTGACTGTGTGAAGTCATCATTTAAGATGGTAAATCTTGTCAGTGGAAACTAGGAGTCTGAGTGGGGATACTTGCAGTGAGAATAGAGAAGAATATCTGAAGGTAATATTTGAAGAAAAATTGTATGAAAAGAGGTGAATAATTTTTTAATATTTCAATAGTCAGATTTTAAATATTTTAAAATATTTAAAGAAGAATCTCATCGACTGCTGATTGCCTAAGAAACCATTACACATCATTTCTATGAACCAGGCATTGTGCTTGCTGCAAGCAGGACAGAGAGAATTCTCTGATCTACAGTAAAACATTATTCCCCTATTAAAAAAAAATGAAATACAGTCGTGCATTGCTTAAGGCAAGGGACACATTCTAAGAAATGTCTCAAAAGGTGATTTCATCATTGTGCAAATGTCATAGAGCTTACTTACAGACCTAGATGCTATGGCCCACTGTGTACCCAGGCTATATGTGCAAGAACCTCCAACATACGTGTGG